AAATACTATTAATTAACAAACGAGAAATAGGAGGAGCACATATTGCCCTCCTATATTTGATGTTATGGTAGCATAGCGTTGTGTGTACTATCAAGGTTAAAAGTACAACGCAGCGCAATTGATTGAGGGATTTGAGTGTGGTTCAGGTTTATCATATGTTCAGAAAGCATCGTTTTGAATTGATTTGGGTTTCTGGAATTATAAGTATGTTGATCAACCCTCTTGTATATATATTGGGAAGTTTCACCAATGTAACAACTATTACAATCATTGCAGTCCAACCTGTAAACAGAATCAGGAATCCTATCAGCGGGAGTTATTGATTTAAGAGGAGAAAAAAGGCAACGGAAAGTGTTATCAAAACTGAAAACCAAAAGAAAACCTTCAGCGGCAAATAACTTTTTTAAAAAATAAGAAAAACTGCTTAAAAAGGGTAAACAAATAACACCTTTATATTTATCTAAAGAAGAAGAAATAGATTTTGAAAAAGAATTGTTAAAATAGGAAGAACTGTTTAAATTGTTTTGTAAAAACTCTAATCTATTTTTAATAAGAATTATTGTTTAAAACAGCACGAACTAAAGATAGGTTTTTTCCCAAAAAATCTTATCACTTAACAAAATGGCCCTATCTATTAAGGAAATGACAACTGAAATTTTTATAGAACGAGAGTGATAAGAATAATAATTTAAATATCGACCAGACCAAGTTGGTTTTTGGAACCAGTCAGTGAGGATGACATTATTATTTCTTATAAGTTTTAAGTCTAAGAAACTGATAGAATTACTAGCTTCAAGTTCACAAGTGAACTGCAAATTCTTATTAAAAGAATTAAAAGAATTTAAAGTGTGGGTTACATAATCATTATCTAAACACAAGAGGATGTCATCAACATATCTATAATAAAAATAAGGTTGAACGGGAAGATTTGTTAAAATACAATTTTCTAAAATTTGTAAAGTTAAATCTGCCACAGGAGGACTAATACTAGACCCATGGGCAAACCAAAAGTTTGTGAAAAAAATTTATCGTCAAAACAAAAGTAAGTATTTTCAAAAATGAAATTTAAAGTAGTTTTAAACCAAATCAAGTCAAAAGATGTATGAGGTTGGATGTCATTCCAACGGTCATTGACTGCCTGTAAAGCAAGATCCCAAGGAATATTGGTGAACAAGGAAATGACGTCAAAGCTGGCTAAAGAAAAGTTGGAAGGGATTTCGGAATTGTTTAAAATTTTAGCTAAATTGAAAGAATTGGAAACGTTAAACTTGGAAGAAACGGTAACTTTTGAAAGGATAGAACTAATAAATTTTGAAAGTTTGCTTAAAGGAGAATTTATGTCAGAAACGATAGGTCTGAATGGTAAATTTGGTTTGTGAACCTTAGGTATACAGAGAATGGTTCAAAGGTGTCCGTGGAAAATAGGCAGGTCCAAAACAATCGTAGTTAGAAGACGAAGAAAAATCTTGATAAACATTTACAGTATGAGATCTTGTGAAATGTTGTAGTGGAGAAAAAACTTGATCCTTTGAAGGCCTAGGAGTAATATGATGAAAGTTTTGTCGACATTGATACATATTTGTAATTTATTTGCAGCCCAACCGTCGAATTAAAAAAAAGATTAAATAACAAAATTATTTATTCCATTATACGTTTCTAATCTAAAAAAACATTTAACATAAATACACAAATGATGAAAAATATGAATATAAAAAGGAGGAAATTATACATACCAAACCAGGAAAAAACAGGAAATATTACTTATAATGTAAAAATTGATATTAACACTAAATTTTTGTAAAATAATAAAATACTATTAATTAACGCACGAGAAATAGGAGGAGCACATATTGCCCTCCTATATTTGATGTTATGGTAGCATAGCGTTGTGTGTACTATCAAGGTTAAAAGTACAACGCAGCGCAGTGTAGGCCACGCGCGCGTATGGGAGTGGGAGGAGTAGCAAGAACGAAAGGGGGAAGAAAAACAGAAGAAATATAACGAATGAAAGATTCTAAAACTGTATTGAATTACTTTTCATGAAATTAATAATTACTTTGCAACTATCATGTAAGAGATGAGATGAATTACGTTTGTTTACACAAGACGTATTAAGGGATATATTATATATTATTATACGATATCTCGTATATATATTTCGTACTCGTCAATCTATTTCAGCATTAATGCTCGTATACTGATTGGCCGAATATTTATGTAGATTTTTTGTCTGTACTGCTTAGACAAGGACGACAGAAGAACCTGAATCAAATTACTATTTAAATATTTGTTATTTTTGTTTTGTTGTCGGACAAAAATTTTCCTTCACACTTTTATTATTGTTGTCGCAATCCTTGGCTTTTCTTAAAAGCTTCGATAATTTCCACTCTATCTTACTAATATAATTAATCGCAAATCGAGTATGGATTTATATTGTTTTGTTGATTTTTCATTTCTTATCATCTCTAATATCATCGTTTCGTTCACGGCGGAATATGGAATATGGAAACGGCATGCATTGTTTTATTTTATTTTTATTTTTTATTGATGCCATAATATTATGTGCTCATGTCTCGTTTCGTTCGTAGCTGTATGTCGCCATATATTCATAGAAAATATATTGTTTTTTATCGCAATGAGGTTTTGTTAAAACTTGAACTATAAATAAGTAACTAATGTAGTATGCGCCGACTTATTACAATTGCAAATTGAAATTATTCATGTATATCAAACATTTTTCAATACCATTTTAACAGGGGCGTAGCGTGCCTTGACGGTGCTCCGTACCAAAATTAGTTTGGGGGCTTCCCTAAACATTTTTCACAAAAAAGCATAAAATTCTAAGAACAATCATTTATCATATTCTTCAAATTGACATCATATTTTTTTACAAGTAATTAAAATTAAATAGTCACTCTCCTTGCATTTTTCAGCAAACTGATTTATTAAGTCATTTATAGCTGATGATATCTTTAGTTTTTCTAATGTTTCTGCCTCTATGGACAATAGAGACAAGTATTATAAACGTTCTTGTTTTATCGATGTTTTGAAGTAATTTTTGATTAATTTTAATTTTGAAAAGCTCCATTCAGCAGTTGCGGTTGTAACTGGAAGAGTCAATAATAAAACGCAACCTGTTATTACATCCGGAAAAAATGGATACATTGAATTTTATAAATAATAATTCAGCGAGTTCCTTAATGGAATGAATTTTTTTGATTTGTGATTTCAAGCATGCTTTTATAGCTATCAATTCATCAAATCGATTATCTGATAGATCTTTGCAGTCTGTCGTCAGTTTGCCGGAAGCAATTATTATTTCTTAATTTGAATAAGGCATGAGTTTTTCCGGCAGCAATATTCTGAACATACTATTCACTTTACAAAGGTTTTGAAATCTTCGTTTTGTTCATGAAATTATAATATCCAAACAGCAATAGTACACGTTGACCTTAAAATACCATTCAGGGTCTTAAATTCTCTCATCTTGTGATACCTTTTTAAAAATCGCTTTGTTATCTTTTGCCTTTTGTTTTTAAAAATTGTTGTTATATTACATTCTTTCCCTAAATCCTTAGTATTCCTTAACAAAATAATGAATGAATTTTGATGCCTCAATTCGCGCAGACTCTCTTTAAAAGATGCTAGTTTGTTCAAGTCATTGCGTCATTGCTAACATCCTGTAGCGCTTTCGAAATTAGATTGATAATTTGAAACAATGAGGAAAGAAATGTGACGAGCACTAAAAAATCATAACTTTCTAAAAGGTTAATTAAATTCTTACATTCTTCTGGTTAAAAATTATAAAGTACATATTTAGGGGCACGGTATCGAATAGAAAGTATCGATACTGTACTCATGAGTAGTATCGATAAAAAAAAGTTTCGTACTCGTAAAAGAATCGACACAAAAGTATCGATACCTCAAAGTATCGAGTTCTTTTCTCAGGCAGGGCCTACGCGGTACGCCATACGTTAGTTTGTCAATGTTAGTCAGTAAGTATCGTCTGTACCTTCATACAGTAAGAGAAAATGAAAAAATAACAAATGGTACATACAATTATAAGATAAATAAAAACAACTTGTAAGTAAATGTTTTAATCTAAATTATTATAAATCCCATTCTTCCTCGGTACAATCGCTCAAGAAAAGAAGTTCGTCGAGCCTTTTTGGCGATAGGCGGTTACGAGTTTTAGTAATTGTACTTTCAGTTTTCAAAAACAATCTTTCTGAGGGCACTGAAGTCGCAGGAATCGATAAAAATTCTCGTGCCAATTTATATAATTTTGGGAAAACAACTTTCATATCTTCCCATTGTTTCAGAGGATCCAAAGAAAGTGGCGAAACCTGTGTAGATAAATAATGGCTTATTTCATCCTTATTTTGAAACTGTGATGAAGAACTGGTTTTACATCGCTTTTTCGCGTGACCTAATTTCTTGTGGTGACTCCAAAAATCGTAAGTTGTTTCAAGAGAGGAATCGCTGCCATGATCGCTGCCGATAACACTAGGAGACGTTGTTATATATCTTCTCAGTAAAGAAATTGCCTTTGCACAAGCATTAGCGTCCTGAAAATGGATATTCTTGAATCTCGGATCTAGGAAACATGACATTGCAATCAAATAATTATCTTCAATATGTCCGAATCGGCGTTCTATCTGTTTTAGGATTTCTTTTTTTATTGTATCTATTACCCTTCCATGGGGACCATCACCATCACCTACAGCCTATACGTATATTAATAATCTGCGTTTTCAAACAGTTCACCATCGGAATTATTTTACTAATGGTTACATACTGTTCAACTGATAACTCTTTAGTTACATACTCGAGCGGTTTCAAAATACAAATCAATTTTTTAATATTTTGCATTTTTACAGCCGATGGTGTGGGTGGTGCTTTTGTATTTAACATCATAATTTGATGAACTATTGGTGCTAATTCAATGTATCTCTGTAGCATATAATAGACGGAATTCCACCGAGTCTTCACGTCTAAAATCAGTTTGAGAGATCAGTTTGAATACTGCTGTGCTTTCCAGCCATGACAGCAGCATTATCGTAAGCCTGTCCTCTGCAATCTTTTATATCTAAACCATCATTTTCTAATTTTGTTAAAATCATATTTGTAATTTCACCAGCAGTTTTTCTTTTAGTTTCTACGAAGTCAATAAATGATTCTACAACTTTGACTTCACTACCATCAATAACTACATGTCTACTAATTTGACTGGTTTGATCCTTGTGTGAAATGTCAGGAGTGCTGTCAAATATAATACAAAAGTATTTAGCCTGCTTTATTTTATCCACAATTGTTCTTCTGACTGCGCCTCCCAATAGCTTTATGAATTCGTTCTGAATCTTTGGTGACAAATAAGAGATACTATATTTATTACCCATCTTAATTTTTACTACGTGTTCTCGTAATACTGGGTCGTACTTAGCCTATAAGTCAACAAGCTCATCAATCGATATTTTCCTGATAAACATTTTCACGATGTCCTCGAAACGACAAATTTTGTTTTGCTAAGAATCTAATTATATCAAGTATTCTTGTTAAAATTTCCTTCCATTTTTTTATTTCTAGATCTACATTCTGCTGTTGTAGAATGTCGATAGTTGCTCCATGTCCAAGTCTTATTTCTAATTTCTTATTTCTAATATAATCGAATGTGCAGTGGACTCACCTCATGTTCATCGATTTTGGGATTAAGTTTCCACCATTTATTAAAACCATTTTCCGTATTAAAACCTGTTTAACAAAGATTATCAAACAGTTTGCAGCAGAAACAATAAACACCAATCTTCGATGGTGAATATACCATCCACGATCTTAAGAGCTTTTCGCCATTAGGCAAAATTAAAAAAAAAACAGTCATGACTCACTCTTCTTGTTTCACCTTTGGTTTTGATTGTATTATCAAAATCCAACAATTTTCATAGAAATAGACGAATTTGTGCAGCAGATTTTTCATCAGAACTTGATGAACTTACTACTTCTTTGCTAGTGTGTGAAGCAGGACTTTCTTCTTGAACAACATTTGAAAATGCTTTTTCGCCTTCGAAGACAAGGCAACAATACTAAAAGAACTAGAAGTTGGCTTATTGGGGAAATATTTGAGTAGTGCTCCAGTATTTTTAGTCTCTATTTCCTCCTTTCTCTTATTTTTCTTTCTAAATGACGCGCCACTTTTTTTACTCGTTTCATTCTCCCTACGGATATATAATAAAGATATAACTTATTATGTATTAAGTATATCATGTATAGAAAACGGAAAAGTCATTCTACTACTCTGAATCGCTTCTATATCTATAATAAATTATATAATATTCTTACCTATAATTTTATTATCATTTATAATAAATTCTCAATAAACTGCTCCTAAAGTTTTGCTTTTATCGTTTTTTTCGATAAATTATCGTTTTTCCGAAATTTCTTGTTGCAAATGTTGATATATCATTGAATCTAAATTTAGTTGATCGAGTCGTATTGGTGAAATGTCGCTTCCTGTATCTATCAAAGATAATGTTTCGTATTTGTTGTTATTAGTTGAATTATTTCATGATTGTCAGTTTTGTTAATTAAAAATGAACTCATAATTTTTGAATTTAGTTACTGTAACGGGATCATTTTTTGAAGATGATGAAGATATTGAAATTTGGTATTGTTAATGAGTAGTTTGTTGATTATTGCCATAGTTTGTGTTTATTTCGGCTTTCTGTATGTATGCGCGAATAATTACATGTTTCTTGTGGCTGCGTCATATTATTATTACGAAAATTTTAAAAATTAGGTTTAGATACTCTACAATTCGGATCATTACACTCAGTTATCAAATGGCCATATTGTTTACTAAAATTACAAAATTTTTCATTTGTATGATTATAATTTTGTCTATTAAAATTTTGTTCATTGTTTCTGCAATAACACATTGAAGCTTTATGTTCCGTTTTTTTTACAAATAAAACATGTTGGTTTAAAATTTTGTGAAAATGTATTTTGATTATAATATGATTATTTCGGTCTATTTTCTGAAAAACTAGTATTTGAGAAAGTTTGATTTGTCGTCTCTTCTTTAATAGCAAAATTTATAGTGTCTATAATATCATTAAATCTGCAACATTTAACTAGGTTTTTATGTGGTTCTTTTAATCCGTTTTCAAAAACTTTTATTCCAATTTGTATGTACGTTATTTGAATAATTTCTGCTGCTTCTTGTCCTATCATAGTTATATCACAAAAGTAAATTTGTCTTAAAATTTATTCTATTTTATTATCGAATTTTTTTACCATTTCGTTATGTCTCTGTGTCAAACTATTTAATTCTGTCATTAAGCTAGGTATTGATCTTTTAGTTGCATATTGTTGCCTTAAGTAATATTTTAAATCGTTCCAAAAATCAAATTTTACAGATTGTGGTAATTCTGGCGATAATTTTAATCTAATAATGTTAAGTAATTTTTTCGCTTCACTTTCCGTCAAATATTCTGCTAAGGTATCACATGCTAAGAAAAAAGCTGGCAAAGTTTTCGAATCTCCGTTAGCATTAGGTATTAACGTAAGCGCGATTTGAACATATAATTTATTATCGTTATATATTAAGTTTAATACATCATTATGTTAGTTTCGTTGATACGCGTCGTTTTGTTATTATAATTCATTTTTATATTTATTTGTGATACACAAAAAATTGGGGTAAGAAAAGCGAAAAAAATATAATATTTGAAAAAAAAATCTTAAACGTAATGTTTTACTAACTTGTATTATCGTAGTCCTGTTAAAACTTAGGTTTGTTTTTTTTTTCTATTCGTCTTTTTCTGCTCGTTTCCGTGTTTCCAGGGATCACCGCTGGCTCCAAATAATAAATGTCACCAAAAATTATTAACACTCTTTAACTCTTTAACCGCTGCCACCAAATAATATGTTGGTATGCATATTAGTTTTTTTCACTATAAAAAATTTTTTGATCCCAAGGCTGATACCAAATAATATGTTGGGTGCCGATTAGTTTTTCTCTTCATCAACCAATTTCGTTAAATGTTATAGTATATTTCATAAGTTCAAATTGAACACAATATTCTTCATGTAAACATTTATTTTCCCGCATTTTTATAACTCTGAGATACCTACACGAAAATTACACAACTGAACAACTTAAAATTACATTTCGGCTTTTTATAACCTTTTCATTTAGTTTAAGGGACTTCCCTTGATTTTGAATATGATCAATTCTTTGTTTATATGTGTGAGTGCAAGTCAAGTTCATTCCCGTTCGCAGTTCATGGGACTTACTGCGATGTGTGCAGTTCATCGATAAATGCTTATTACAATGTAGCGACTATTCTTAAGATGAATGCAATACAATTGAGAATATGATTCATTGCGTAGTATGTTCCTAATATATTAAATATTAATATTAACTAATTAAGCGTTGGGTCACAATATATATATATATATATATATATATATATATATATATGAATATGAAATCCATAAGTTACTATTAATAACTATAAGTAGATGTAAAAAATGCCGCCCCCCAAAATAAGTGCCGCCTGGGCGGACCGCTCCCCCCTAGATACGCCACTGCCTTGCATCAATTCTAATAACTGACCCAAATAATTATTAAATCGAAAACAGCCGGACTGGCCGATTTTCAAGAGTTCCTTCCTCACTGCATTGTTTACCATAGATATACCATGTGTTGAAATGTGTATAGCTGAAGGACCAGCTAGAATTAATGGCTCTATCAACCGTTTTGATGGTAAAGATTAATTAAAGAAAATTACACTAATTTATTTTTGAATGTAAATTTACATGGTTTGTATGGTAAAATAATATTTGAGTATTTGTATTATTATTGGTATTTGATGTGGATAGCTTCGCGACTTGGTCTATATCTAGACTCCCTTTTTCTTCAGGTACTTAGAGAACCCTTTTGTAGTTGATCTTGATAAGCAAAATTGTCCACGCTTCGTTGCAAGACAAAATGAATGCGACTTTGTCAGGTCTAATTTGGCGTGAACATTCTCCCGCTCTTGAAATAATGCATAGTATATGATTTCAAATTAAAATTATTGTTCAGCACTTGAGTTAATAATAGTCTGTTGGTTTGAATTATATCGTCTATGGTTTTGGTAATACACAAATTCCATTAATTGCACGCGTCTCATTGATCGACGGGTTGTTGTGACATTTTTAAACATCATAAATATTTATTAGAATGTCTATTATATTACGAAGGTATTTATCTGATTCGCTATTCATGGCTGGATGATCGAATAATTTTTTGATGTGATTGTTTACAGTTATTTTTTTATTTTCAAAACGCGTTTTCAGTAAATCCCACGCAATTATATAATTATCGGCCGTTGCCGGTAGAGATTCTATAAGGTTTGCCGCCTCCCCTTCACGCATGATTTTAATTAATAAAATTTTTGAGCATTACCAATGTTGCAATCATTATGAATCAAAGAATAAAACGAATCGTAAAATTGTAGCCAATTTAAGTAAGAGCCGTATTGAGATAGATTGATTTGAGGCAGTTTTATGTTATTCGAATTATTTGTTACAGTGGTATCATTAGAATTACTATTCGAACTAGTATCTGACCTATTTGATGCTGCTTGACTGAGTTTAAGTAATGTTGACAAGCATTTATTATATTTTTCAAGAAAATCATCTAACTCAATTTCAATTAAATTATAATTTGAATTTCGTCTTTTAGTAATGTTTTTATATTAAATAGGGTATTTTCAAAGGTTTCAAAAATAGGCTCCACATCTTCGACAAGGCGTTTTATGCCTGCAATATTTAAGACGCATGCAGGTAGTTCCGACATTTGCCTGCACAGTTTTGTTAAACGTGATTTAATAACTCGCTGTTTCATTTTGAGAGTTTTTGACGTTTCCATTTTGACACATATTGAATTAAACTCTAAATATTCAATAAGGAAAGATTGAAAAGAAGGAATGCTTGACTAACCTGATATATGCGCTGTATGCTTTGCTTGTTCGTAGGTGTAGCGCCACATTTGGACTTCCTATCTTGTTTTGAACTTTCACTTTATTTTATTTTGAATTTAGATTTAATGTTTTAATTATTTCCTTTGAACTGATGATCGCATCCGGATCGTTTGGACCAGATAGAATTAATGGCTCTATATCAACCGTTTTGATTGTAAAAATTAATTAATGAAAATTATACTAATTTATTTTAGAATGTAAATTTACATGGTTTGTATGGTATAGTAATAAATAGTATTTGTATTTGTCATGTCTTATTTGGCGTGAACACCATGTGTGTTGTATATAAGTATGATTTCTCTGTGCAGTTTTACTAATCGCTTACAAATTTTTTCAATCAGGATGGACACTGTCAGCCGTTACATTCAAATCAATACAAAAACTATTACTATATAACTTTTTGAGCAGATAATTTTTAAGGACTATATGCCCGGCATATATAATAGAAAATCTAAATTCATTCTGTTAACTTAAACAGCTTTGGAGTAGTGTTCTTGTATTTAAATATATATATACAAATATTTACAAATTTTAGTAAGTTCTGACAAGAGGCAAGATTATTAAAGTCTTCTATCGCTGGAAGGATCGTAGCCAAGCTTCTAGATTGAGCCAGTCACCAAACGTTTGAGTGTTTATTTCCGTGTATCTCAACGTACTATATCTACTTGGAACGTCGGTTCAGACTCTCTCAAGTTGCTTTAATAAGTGTTCCTACTTAGTGTACTAACTTATTGGCACGCTGAGAGCTGATCCGCAAAGAGACAGATTCTGGAACGGGGCTCAAGTTTTATACTCTGGAGGTCCGTCGAAGCCCATCCCTTGTTGCTCTGGGGGTAGGTGGTGGACATTCTCCCATCTCGTTCCAGCTTTCCTGTTCGCGATGGTTTGTTCTTTTTCCTAATCTCGTCTGGGTCTTCGGTGGTCATGTCCTTTTCTGACCTGTACTTATACTTGGACATGACCCCGTCGCGATGATGCAATTTGTGTTTGTGTGCTCATGCAATATCTCCTTTCTCTCATAACCGACGTGCTTGCCTGTTCTCGCGCACGCAGTCGAACTACCCTCTCAGTGTGCCTCGATGCGTCTCGGTGCGCCTACAGCTACTAGCGACAAGTGCAAATATATCGTTACTTGTCAACACTGTGTACTTAGCATGGGTCGCACTGGGGTGTTTTTAGCTAAATATTTATCATGCTACAGACTCCCCCTCTGGACGCGAAGACGTCCCGGCGAGTAGTCCAGTATTCTTCTTTGGCCGTCCACGTTTCCTTACTGGGTATATTAGGGTATTGGGGTGGATGTTTCGTTGCCTTTGTATTCCTTCAGGGCAGATGTGTGGTATACTCCTATAATCTGCGTTTTATCTGTGTTGGAGCCTATTTCATATGTTGTAGCTCTTTCCTTGCTTAGTACAACGTATGGACCGTCATTTTTCGGGGCAAATTTTGATGTTTTGCCCTCTTTGGCTTTGCTTATTATGTGTGTATTAATCAGCACTAAGTCTCCAGGTTTGTATGTCGGTCCTTCTCTTTTTTTCTTGTCTGCATACGTTTTTCTGTACTCTTGCTCACGTTTGTTAATAGCTCTTGCCTGTTGTAGTGTTTTTGCCAACATTTTCAGGCGTGGTGTGATTTCTGCCACAAAATTTTCTTTTTCCACGATTGCTTTTAAATCTCGATTTGGGTCATCTGGCGTGCGTAATTCTGCGCCGAATGTGAGATAAGCTGTTGTGTATCCTGTGCTTTTGCATAGTGCCGTGTTCATAGCAAAGCGTGTTTCCGGTAGTTTTTCCGCCCATGATCGGTGATCTCTTCCCACCAAAATTGCTAGGCGAGATTTCAGGTCGCGGTTTTTTCTTTCGACTGGATTAGCTTCGGGATGATACACCGGTGTAAACCGTTGTTCAATTTCCAGGCAGTAGGTTAATTGTTGCATTACTGCGCTGATGAACTGCGTTCCATTGTCCGATATGAGTCTTCGTGGTGTTCCATATCGCATGAAGACCTCGTTGATTAGTGTGGACGCTATTTCCTTGGCGCTTGCGGTTTTGAGCGCGAAGAGCTCGACCCACCGGGTAGCCGTATCTTCAATGATTAATACCCAGTGCTGTCCGTTTGGAGTTTCAGGAAGCGGCCCAAACAAGTCCACAGACATGACTTCAAACCTCTGTTTCATTACCGGAGTTCTCAGCAGTCCGGCTGGTTTCTGGTTAGATGGTTTTTACTTTTGACATTGTGTGCATGTCCGGACGTATTTGGTGATTTTTCTCATGCCGTCCCAGTAGTACCGAGAAGAGATTCGCTGGATGGTTCCATAGTGTCCTGCTGTCGGATCGTCATGGTACCTCTTCAGAATCTCGCATTTTTGTTTCTCAGGTACAACCCATTGTGCCTCTTCGGAATCTATTTCCGGGGTGTAACGATAGAGAACCCCTTCGGAAATGACGTATCCGCGGTTGGTCCATTGTAGCGCTTCTTCTTCTGATTCGCTGTTTTCTAGGCAATCGATTATAGTTTTTAGGGAGTCATCTTCTAACTGACTTTCCCTCAACTGTTTTGCACATTTAGTGAGTAAATCCACTTCTATTTGATTTATTTCTATTTGATTTACTTCTGTTTGATTTATTTCCGTTTGCTCTGGGACTAGTCGGGACAGTGCATCAGCTACGACGTTTAATTTACCTTGCATGTATTTTATTACGAGATCATGCTCTTGTAGCTGTAATGCCCACCTTGCTAGTCGACCGCTTGGGGTTTGTAGTGACATTAGCCATCTCAGTGGTTGGTGATCCGACGTTATCATGACTTGTGATCCCTCTATATAGCCTCTGAATTTGTTCACTGCCCAAACAACGGCTAGAGCTTCCCTCTCTGTGGTAGAGTAATTGATTTCCGCTTTGGTCAGGAGCCGGCTTGCGTACTCGACCGGATGTTCTTCCTGACCCTCCCCCTGAAGTAGAATTGCCCCTATCGCATAGCCGCTGGCGTCTGTTCTCAAAATAAAAGGGGTACCGTGTTCTGCCTGTTTCAGGACAGGTGCTGTGGTTAATAACTTCTTTAATTTTCCGAGGGCTTCCGCTTGTCCCGTTTCCCATTTCCATACGGCTGTTTTCTTCGTTAGGGATGACAGGGGACGAGCTATGTCCGCGAATGACGGGATAAACCTCCGGAACCAGGAACATGTTTGTAAAAACGACAGTAATTGCTTCACATTCTTCGGCGGTGGTATAGCAATTATGGCTGCAATTTTCTCTGGATCGGTCTGGATACCTCCAGGTTGTAAAATGTGTCCGAGATACTTAACGCTGGGACGACAGAATTGGCACTTGTCTTGGTTCATTTGTAAGTTGAAAGTACTCATTCTTGAAAATACTTGCTTTAGATCATCTATGTGTTTTTCGAAGGTCGGCGATAATATTATTAGGTCGTCCAGATATGCAAATATTTGAATGTCCTTGAGCCCTGCTCTTAATCGATCCATTAGTCGTTGGAACGTTGCGGGTGCATTCCGGAGACCGAACGCCATTCTCTTGAACCGAAATATGCCGAAAGGCGTCGTAAATGCCGTTTTTGAACGAACCTCTTCGGTTACTTGGACTTGCCAATATCCTGATCGTAAGTCCAGTGTCGACATGTATTTTGTCTGCTTTGCCGCGTGTAGAAGGTCGTCTATTCTGGGTAGTGGGTATGCATCTGGTATTGTTATCGAGTTTAGTTTTCTGTAATCCACGCATACTCGCACTCTCCCTTCTTTCTTGGGTACCAGCACCACAGGTGCTGCCCACGGCGATTCGCACTCTTCTATTATGTCGTCTTCTATCATTTTTTTTATCTCGGCTCGCAGTAATTCCGTTTTATGCGGTGACATCCGATATGGCGGTGTAGCTACGGGGAGGTGCGAGCCGGTATTTATGTGGTGCTTGATGATTTCACAAGGCTTGCCGGATTCTTTGAACAGTTTTTCGTGGTCTTTTAACGAGACTCTTTTCTTGTTCTGCCTCTAGCGTCGTAGCTTCGATGGTACACATAGGGTTGTAATACTCTCTCTCTAAATAATCGTTGTCCCATGCCTTCGATAGTTCCTCGTTACTAGAAGAGTTTCTCGACTGTATTTCTAGTTGCTTTTCGGGAACGAATTCGCGTCTGGGTTGACGGTCTGCGGCGAGACCCCACAAATCTTGAGAGAAGTCAAATTTCATTCCCGCGGCTTTGATGAGATCCACACCTATTAATGTTTGACTACTTGTCGCTGTCGGCATTACCAGGAACTGCATTGTCAGCCGCTTTTCCGCTACGTGTACCTCGACTGGGGTCACCAGAAGGTCGTCGTCGTAGGGCCGGCCATTCGCTAAAGTCACTCTAAACGGTGCAGGTCTGAATATGTGTCCATTATCTTTCAGATCTCTATACATCTGGTGGCTCAGCTGGCTTCGTCGGGCCCCTGTGTCCAGAAGCGCGTTAGTGGCACTCCCATTTATCAAGATTTGTATGACCGGCCGTGGCTGAGGTTTCGCAATCATGCACGCTGTTGTACGTATTTCAATGTCTGGTGCTGGGATTAATAACCCTCGGCCTGTGTCCTGTACTCTTTGGGTTGCCGCTTCCGCCTTCCTTTCATAGGTCCATCTTGTTTTTTTTTTTCTTCTCTTGAACATCTAATATACATATTTGAATGTCTTCCGTGTCCATCGCTGGCTTCACGGGGTTACACACTGGACATATACTCCTAATTACGCCTGATTTCCCGCAACCATAACATCTGAGGAGGTTGCTTGCATTACTAGGCGGATTTTTCTGTGCTTTGGCCATCTTGCGGCATTCCGTTGCCATGTGACCTCTCCGATTGCAGAATGTACATTGATTAGAGTATGTCGAGTTGCTCTTGGGTTTCATAACTGATGCCTCGTGCATATTTTGTTCGACTTCACGAGCTTTCCGTTGTAATTCTTCGAAAGTCTCGAAGCTATCCCGAGGAATCCGTTCTCGGATTCTTATGTTTAATAATTCATAAATTATATCGATCTGTTGTTCCTCGGTGTGTATTGGAGGTGGTAGAGCTGCTAATAGGACCTTTTTCTCACACACAAAAAGATCGGTCGCCGTGGTTTCGTCTTGATGCTTACCAAATATTTCCAAGTAAGTCTGGTATGGCGCCTTCTTCGGTGAGAATGCTTTTTGTAATAGTTCAAGCGCGTGTTTTTGCTTGCTCTTTGTTCCCTTTCCACCATAGTGCAGCCGTATTTGTAAGAAGAAGCGGTAATCCTTTTAACGCATTTTTGTCGCTTATCCCTTCTATTTCTCTGTATGTTGCCACCCTTGTTAAGAAATGGTCCACTTCGGCTGGATCTCTGCTTCCATTGAATCGCGTATCGCAGTTAGCGAAGCTTCCACTCTTCTGTGGTTGTGTTGTCGGCTGTTGCACTACATTTACCTGTACTACAGCGCTTAGGATACGCTGTAGCTGCTCTTCCGTCAGGCTCATCTTGCTGCGTGGGCTTATTCTTCTTTTATTCGAATTAGACTCCGTCTTGCTTATCTTGGCCCCACGTTGGGCACCAATTGTAAAGGGATATTTGTATTATAAAATAACTTAAACAGCTTTGGAGTAGTGTTCTTGTATTTAAATATATATATACAAATATTTACAAATTTTAGTAAGTTCTGACAAGAGGCAAGATTAGTAAAGTCTTCTATCGCTGGAAGGATCGTAGCCAAGCTTCTAGATTGAGCCAGTCACCAAACGTTTGAGTGTTTATTTCCGTGTATCTCAACGTATTATATCTACTTGGAACGTCGGTTCAGACTCTAACAAGTTGCTTTAATAAGTGTTCCTACTGTGTGTACTAACTTATTGGCACGCTGAGAGCTGATCCGCAAAGAGACAGATTCTGGAACGGGGCTCTGGTTTTATACTCTGGAGGTCCGTCGAAGCCCATCCCTCGTTGCTCTGGGGGTAGAT